CCTACAGGGGGGTTATGAGCAGTCATCTCAGCGACAAAATCGGCCAGAGCTTGTGCCTTTAGGGAAATCCTGCTCTCGTATTGGACGTCGAATTCAGAAAGTTCCAAGGACCACTTTAACATTCGACCCGCCATGTCCGGTCGATCTAGGAATTGTTTCATGGGCTGGTCCGTTCGCACCATGATCGTGTGCGCGAGGAAATAGTGCCTGAGCCTTCTTGTTGCATTAACGAGGGCCATAGCCACCTTTTCTATCTGTTGGTATCTAACATCGGGCCCTTGAAGCGCCTTTCTCGTGAAATAAATGAGTTTTTGTTTGTCGTGCGCCTCACGAATGAGGGTTGCGCTGACGGCTTCGACCGAGACGGCTAGGTATAGAAATAAGGTTTCCCTGTCAACTGGTCGTGATAACACGGGCGATTGCGAGAGGCTTTGTTTAAGATGGATCAGCGCCTGCTCGCATTCCTCGGTCCATTCGAAGGCCGCTTCCTTGCGAAGGAGCTTGAAGAAAGGGAGGGCGTGTTGAGCGGATTTTGCAACGAAACGAGATAGTGAGGTGAGCATGTCATTCAAAACTTGTATGGATTTTTTCGAAGTAGGTGTAGGGAGGTAAGAGAAAGCTCGGCACTTGTTGGGGTTGGCTTCGATTCCTTGTTCTGTTAAGTAGAAGCCGAGGAACTTGCCCGCCTTGACCCCGAATGTGCACTTCTCGGGGTTAAACCTTATTTTGCATTGCCTCGCTTGGGCAAAGACTTCCCTGAGATGAGCAGCATGGTTGGTGTCTACTCGGGATTTGACGATCATGCTGTCCATGTATACCTTGAGCATGTCCCCGATTTGGTTGCGGAAGACTTTGTTCATCATCCGCTGATACGTTACTCCTGCGTTTTTCAGACCGAAGGGCATTACGTTGTAGTAATAGTTGCCCGAGCTAGTCATGAAAGCGGTGCAGTGTTTGTCACCTATTGTCATTGGGATTTGGTTGTAGCCCGAATAGGCGTCCATAAATAATAGAATTTTATAGTCGGCCGAGTTATCGACCAACATATCAATATTAGGTAAAGGAAATGCATCTTTGGGGCATGCCCGGTTAAGATTGGTGTAGTAAACGCACATTCGCCATTTTCCATTATTTTTCTTGGCAAGTACAACATTTGACATCCAGGTTGAATACCGGGCTTCAGAAATAAATTTTTCCTCTAAGAGGTCTTTTACAGCTTTTTTCAGCAGCCTCCGCTTTCTCCGGAGACTGCTTACGTATACGTTGTATTATTTCCCTAACGGCTAGATCAATGACGAATTGATAACAGGCGACCTCAGGGTCGAGATAGGGCATCTCCGCAGCACTCCATGCAAACAGATCCGCATTCTCCCTCAAGCAAGCCTTTATCTACTTTCTTGTCAAGTCGGGGAGTTCGATGCCATTCTTCACTCCTCTGCTTGGGTCTTCACCGAGGGGGGACAAGCTCGAAGTCCCCGTCTGGAATTGGTCGGAGGGGGACTTTCTCGCCGCTAGGAGGCTCGTCCTGGTCGAAGTGAGTGTCTAGGGATATCAAGTCGACCTTTGAGGGGCTCTCTGTTCTTCTGCTCTGATGGGCTCTGGCCGCTGAGGTTCTGGTTGCACAATCGCATCTTTCTTGGCGGGCCGTGTGCTGGTGTCGATCGTGTTATGTCCCTTGGACGCTGCGTTGAAACACCTTTGGGCAGCTTCTAGGTCACCTTGAATAGTGGCAACCCGTGCCCTCTTGGTGTAGAACTTCATTTTTAAATGGACGGTGGAGGGCACCGCGGTCAGCTCTGCTAGTGTCGGCCTTCCTAGAATGCAGTTTGTAGAGGGAAGGGAAATCAATGACGAGGAAGTGCACCTTGACTTTCCTAGTAGCGGTATCCTCGCCGAACGTGACCATGAGCTCAACGTATCCCCAAGGCTTGGAGATCGAGCCGTTAAAGCCCTGCAGGTCCGACCCAACGTATGGTGAAAGGTGAGAGTCGTTGAGCTGCAGGGTTCGGAACAACTGGTTGTACATCACGTCGGTGGAACTTCCCTCGTCGACGAGGATGCGATGTACGTCAAAGTTGGCCATTCTTCCCCTTATCAGCAGAGGGATGTCCGAATTGGGGGCCCCTCCGGGGAGCTCCTCGAGGTAGAAGGTGATTGGCTTTGATCTTCCTTTCACCCTTTCAAAGGTTACCGTTTGAGGGGGGGGGGGGGGCATGTCGACCAACTCGTCCAACTTCCTCTTAGCTGAATTTATGGTCAAATCATTGAACCCTCCACGATTGATGACCATGGCGGAGGGGAAGTTTTCCCACCTGCTGTGCGTAGACAAAGGTTCTTGCAAATGCTCGGGGACGTAGAAGTCCTCAAGTCTTATGACCGAGAATGCGGTTTGGATGGGAACCGACTCGTCAGATGGTCGGGTATCCTCTTCTACTTCCCTCGTTTCATGGGCATCTCGACGAGGAGCATCATTTCGCCAGTATTGTGCAAGTCTTCCCCCTTTTATGAGGGTCTCGATGGCGTCCTTGAGGTGGACACAGTCTTCGGTCAGGTGCCCGTGGATCCGGTGGTACTAGCAGTATTTGCTTCGATCCACCCCGGGTTTGGCAGGAGCATGGCAGAGACGTTTGACGCGGCCGTCCTTGAAATCTGTACTTGCGCACTCCACTAAGATGCGCTCGCAGGAAGCCATAAGCGGAGTGTATTCTGTGAACCTCCCCGAGGGTCCCCTTTGTTCCCGGTCGTCTCGGGGTTTATCGTCCTTTCTCTTTTCTCCAGTTCGTCAAGGAGGGCGCGATGTCTTGTCGCGGATTGCTACTGGATCCGCGGTTTTTTGGGTCTCGGGCTCCGTTGGCCGCTTCTCTCTCCTCGTAGTCCATGTAGGCCCTGGCCTTTTCGAAGAGGGCATCAAACGTCCGAGGTGGTTCGATGCCCATGGCTTTTCTGAATTAGGTGTCGGGGAGGAGCCCCCTCTCCAGCAGGTATCTCTTCATATGGTCCATGCAGGGGACCTGGATGGCTTCCCGGTTGAAGCGGTTAATGAATTCTCTCAAGGTACCATCATGCTTCTTGACGATGGCCTCGAGCGCTGCTTTGGTCTTCGGATGTCGTCGCGAAGTAGTGAACGAGCTGATGAACTGGTTCTTCAGGTTTCGCCAAGAGGTAATTGACCCCGGGGCGAGACCTTTGTACCAGTCCATAGCCGCTTTCCTCAGAGTCGTGGGGAACAACCGGCATTTGATTTGTCCCCCGATGTTGTGGTAGTGCAACATGACTTCGAACCCGTCTATATGGTCGACCGGGTCAGCGATACCGTCGTACTCATTTAAGTGGGGAGGCTTCTCCATGCCCGAGGGAATGGCCGCCTCCATGATAACTTGTGACAAGGGACTGCGGGGGTCGTCCTTGTCACTCCGTTTCGAAGAGCGGGATGAGGGTCCGATGTAGTGGCAGTCATTGTGGCCTGGTCGCGCGAAGCGTTCCTTGGGTGGTGTGACCGTTGATGGTTTCCCCCGTGTCTGTCTCCAGGGGGTCTTCGTTCTTGTCGCGAGGGGCCATAGTCGCGCCTTCCCGCATCGACGAGCGGTTCCCTCTCCAAAGGGGGTCATCGCCCGAGTGGTCGGGGTGACGGGCTTCTAGAGATGTCCTGATTTTGTCTCCGCGAGGGAGATTAGGGACATTCATCCGCTTGTCGAGGGGGAGGAGATTGAGGTCTTCTGTGTCTTCTAGGGGGCCTTCGGTCGTCCTCGAGTGCTCTCAGTCTTTCCCCCTGGGCGAAGATGAGGTAGTTGGTTTGGTTGATCACAGCGAACAGTGCCGTGAACAGTGCCCTGGTCGTGGCGTCTGCCCCGACGGGGACATGGACCTCATGGAATTGGACGACTGGGTAGTTCATAGGAATTGGTCGATCTTCTTCAAGTCGAGGAGGGATTGATGAAGAAGAAGTTGTGGCTCCGTCCCAGTAGTTAGAAGGTCAGAGGATGTTGACGCCAGGGACCGTATTATGGTCGATGGTACCGGCGTTGTCGAGGCCGACATTATTGTCGGCGATGTTGTTGTTAACGCCGATGACACAAACGTTCTGGTTGTCTTGAGTTTGGTCAGCCATGACAGTCGAGGATTATTTAGCTTTGGTCTTTTAAATGAAGAGAAGACGGGGAAGTTTAGATTCCCACAGACGGCGCCACTGATCTTACCTGATCAGAGTTGGACCATCACAGCTGGCTTCAGGCTGAGTTTGAAGGAGATGGGGGAGGGGTGCCTGCAAGACACTCTGATGGCAAAGTGAGAGGCGGAATGAGCAAGCAAGTATGAATTTAGGTGTGAACGAATGAATACCCGACCCTCTCGAAAGAGAGGATATTTATAGCCCTCAGCGCTGGGCCAGAGTCTCTTTATTGAGCTGATCAAACAGGCCCCACAAAGAGACTGCTAGATTCTATGTGTGTAGTGAGGACCCGCACGTGGCACCCTACCTGGATGACGTCCTCCGCAAGACATGGAGGATAAAGACGCGATCTTTCCGGGACCATGAAGACTCCGTAAAATTTGGAGAGGTTGAAAATCAGTCCTACGAGGAAGATGCTCGGAGGAAGCGCGTGCTCGTCGGGAACGTTCTTCGCAAGCACCAGCGGAAAGCAATCATAGCCGATCATATACCTATGATCGAGATGTGCTCGGTGGGTATACTGCTCAGCGCAGCAGGTTGGCAAGCTTAGATTGGACCTCACTGATGATTGAGCCAAACACAGGCCCAATCCAGAACTCTTTGTAATATCACCCTTTATACTCTTCCATAAGTAATGTAAAGAGAATACACAACCCAACAACCCTCAACAATTTTAATTTTAATTTTAATTTTAATTTTAATTTTTACAACTAATTGACACTTGAAAGAATTGTATTTCATGTTTTTGTTTTATTGACAATAAAACACACTTTTCTCCATTGAAAACAACACCCTCTCAAAAAAAAAACATGATGTGTACACATAAAAGAGAAGAATATCCCCTTGTTTTTCTCAACAGTCCAAATCCATTCCGCGCCATTTTAAGCAAATATTCTTCTCCAACATCTCCGATCCTCATGGAACATTTTCACCTCTCTCTCTCAATCATCTCCTCTCAAACAATCCCTCTCTTTCTCTCTCCCAATTCCCAACAAAATCAAACCTTCAACCCCATTTTCCCCTTTGGGTTCCTCCAACCCTACCCCAAAACCTTGCATCCCCAGCACAACTACATTCCCATCTCAATTTCATGGACACACAATCAGGTACGCCGCAAATGCTTCTCAATCTTGCTTTGTTCATAATTTCATTGTTTCTTCCGATTTTATTTGAAATTAAACGGGCTCTACATTATCTCAATTTATAATGTTTTGATCAATTTCTATATTCTTGTAGGGTTTAAATTCTCAAGCCCGTTTATGGAGCTAGGGTAGGGTGCAATGACCACGGTGATATCAATGACAATGACAAGCCTTCGTGTTTCGGGTTATGGTTTTTAATGGACTGATTATGTAGAATTCCTTGGTTCTCCATTTTTTTGATGAAGGGTAAACATAATTTTCAAGTTTCTCCGCAATATCGTGTTTTGTTTACAGAGGGATTTGGTTATTATGTCACCTTCAGTATATAGCAATTGAGACTGGCACAGATGATATATGAGAAATTAGCTTGGGTGATAGGGTTAAGGATTTATCTGTAAAATGTGGATAGGCATTGAGAATGTTTTAACTGCATTGCAAAAGGTTGTTAGGTTGAGATAAGTGTATAATCTTCCACCATGAATAATGAGGATCCTGGAATTTCAGGAAATCAATATAGAGGTACAGTGAGTGTTGGGTTTAGTGACAGAACATCTGATAAAGATGATGCAGACAATATATGTCTACAGACTGGTGAAGAATTTTCTGTCAAGTTCTTACGCGACCGGGTTGGTTTAAGAAGGTTTCCTGTCGTAACTGATGCAGAGCAGCAGCACATGCAAAACAGAATGGACTTCAATATTAATAATAATAATAATAATAATAATAATAATAATAACAATAATAATAATAACAATTATCAACCGGTTTACGAGGATCAAAAACACGCCCATGGGCTAGGGAGAACGGATTCTGATAGCAATTTGGATTTGTCAGATATTGCTTTTGCTAGAGGTTATGGTGCTGATGTTGACAACAGGGTATATCATAATAATATGAGCAGATATCAGTGTGAACATGGTGGTATCAGACAAGCATCGAGTGCATTTTCTAGACAATTATCAAGTAGGTTGTCTGACGGATGCGATCAAGTTGCCTCGGGATCAAATACTCCTCGTTCTTGCCAACCTTATGGAACTGTATTCTCAGAAGGTTCCTTCTACCAAAAGATAAAGTTTCTATGTAGTTTTGGAGGTCGAATACTGCCAAGGCCAAATGATGCGAAGCTCAGATATGTGGGGGGAGAGACACGGATTATATCGATCAGGAAAAACATCACACATGAGGAACTTACGAGGAAGACTTTTGATATTTGCAATCAAACTCACATTATCAAATACCAGCTTCCTGGAGAGGATCTTGATGCTCTTATTTCTGTTTGTTCTGATGAGGATCTTCATCATATGATTGAGGAGTATGAGGAGCTTGAAAGAGGTGGAGGCTCGCAACGACTGAGGATTTTTCTCATAGCTTCAAATGAATCAGGGAGTCCAAGTTCTAATGAACCAAGAGTCAATCAGAAAAATGATGCTGATTATCATTATGTTGTTGCTGTTAATGGTATACTAGATCCAAGTCCGCGAAAGAATCTTAGTGGACTGAATCTGGCAAGCCATGCAAGCCAGTTTACAACTGCCTCTGATTTCAACAGTCCACATTTCCATAGAGAATCATCCACATATGCATTTGCTTCAGAGGGTTTGGATTGCAGCCCAACCTCTTCAAATTTGGCAGGCATAACGCCAAAACAAAGTTCATTTGTAACATCAATGGCGGGCAAATCGTTTAATCAAGCGCCTCCTTCTCCCATTTGTGCACAGCCTAAAGATCCAAATATTTCTAATGTCCAGTTATTTACGGATCAACCCTATAATGTTGTTAATGAAAACATTATTCCCTATGTCATGGAAAAAATTCCACGCGACAACTCTTTCTATGTAGACAGTACCAGTTATGTTGATCCCATTGCATATTATAACAATCTTCCCCAAGGGCCTCCATGTGTGAACCACCATCCTAGTAATCAATATCCATTGGAGTCTGACCAAATCAGGAAGTCTAACACTGATTTCCATTTTCACAGACGAACCAATAGCAAAGAATTTGTTTGTTCTGCAATTTGTAATCAGACTGATATGAAATTTGAGAGGCCTTTAGTAAACAAAGAAGGTTTATACCATTTTAACAAGATTGTCTCTCACCCACATCAGTCATCGAGTGTACTCTCAGTATCTGGTGATAAGGATGTTTCTCAGTACAGAATGTTGCATGCACTCTTTGACTCAACACTTCTGGAGAATAGTGAGAACTACAAAGGTCACCTGCAATTTCCGCTTAATGTTGAGAGAGACAAATTGTCATCGCTGGGAACTTCAAGCTCTTTGGAAGAATGTTCAATGCAGCCAGAAGAGATAAGTGATGGGAAAGAACGTACAGTTTTACATCAAAACTGGCCGACTTTTGGAATCACTGATAGTTGCAACCGATTGTCAGAAATTGGTAAAGAGAACCTACAATGTGTGGGTAAAAGCACTGATTGGTTTGTTGAAAGAGTTGGAGCTATGCCACAACAGTTACAGTACATCTACTATCAACATGGTGCTTGCTCGTCTTCACCAGATTTACAAAGCAGTGAATGCAGTGATTCTGCTGCACCACTTATGTCGTCACAGTTAGCTAGATGCATGACAGAGCAACCAACTGGTATACCGTTCGACACAATTGCTTCTGAGTTTTCTATGAGAAGCCAAAGTTCACCTATGCATCACCAATTTGCTGTGTTAGAGACGAAAGATGGTCAACCACCTCCCCCTGGCTTTTTTGAGATACGGCCTATTGACCCCCAAACTGACACAGAATCTGTGCTACCTGTATCGGTAAGTATATAATATAGCCTTTGATTTATCAAATCAACTCCGTGCTTGCATGTAAGAATAACAGTATTTTCATTCGTAATTCAGTATCCAGACGTGGTTTCTTCTTCACTAAGAGAGGTTCTTGGCCCTGACGACAATCCTGCATACTACCAGAACCAAAAGGAAGAAAGCAAAGTCACTAAGAAACAATCCTATGAATACATTGATGAATTTTGCATCAACCAGGCAGAATCAGCAGCAGTTGTCAAAGAATCAATTGATTATATTTCTTCAAGTATCCAGTCATGCTTACAAGTTGTCTCAAATATAAATGAAGAGGGCAAACATACATATTCTGAAAAAGCAGGGGTAGTGTGTGTTAATCCAGAATCTGAAAGTAAGGTAAGAATCTGAAGATGAAATGAAACTGTTGTCTCAGTCTTTCATATATGATAACCGATTTATATAACTGAAATGAGGTTATTGTCTACAATGATAGCTAGCAAAAGCTGATAATGAAAACTTCAATAAGCCTATTGGTGATTCAGAAACTGCTGAAACAGAGTCGGAACTTTATGGTTTACAGGTACGGAACACTACATTTTGGTATATTGAAGCATATTCGCTTTTCCATCTTCAATATTATCATGAACCCTCAAATTTCATTAGGTATTATTTGGTTGATTAAAACCACTTATTTACTAATCTCCATTTTTCGTTAATTGGTTTTGTCGACTAATATGAAACATGAGATTTATGATAAGTGTTTTTATACGTAAAGAGATACTTCAAAGTTATTGTTCTGAAAGTAACACCTGCATTATTATAATTATATTGTTGTTAATCGTATGAAAACTAATGTCAGTCTTCGTTAATGAGCAAATTCTGGTAGTAGGACTAGCTCCACCTGAGATCTAATCTCCCCTCTCGATTTTGGCTTCTTATTTTAATTTTCTTGCTTTTTCATCCTTTAAGTTTTTTTAGTAGGAAAATCAAAAGAATGCAGATCAAAATCCACAAGTATCCACATTTGACCCAAATGCTTCTTGTGTTAAAATACAGATTATTGAGAATGGTGATCTTGAAGAACTACATGAGTTAGGATCTGGAACCTTTGGAACTGTTTATCATGGCAAATGGAGAGGAACAGATGTTGCAATTAAGAGAATAAAAAGTAGCTGTTTTGCTGGTAGAATGTCAGAGCAAGAGCGGTTGGTAAGTCACCATAGAGTATAAACAAATTGAATTTGCTACTATCCTTTTTTTAGTTTTCCTTTCAAACTTATATTTTATAAAATTACTAGTAAATAATTATGGATGGGAAAATGCTTCTGTGATGAATGAATTTGTTAGTGTCCTTTATTTAGTTTTCCTTTCAAATTTATGGTATAAAATTACTTGTAATATGCATGGAAAGTGCTTCTGTGGTGAATGAATGAGGAAGTGAATTTCCTTGACTTGGAAGATCTCACATTTACCAGCCATTAACATAAATTCAGAGTTACCCTTTTTTTTATGTCATTTCATAGTTATATGCTTATCACGTCTGTTTCTCCAGACTAAAGATTTTTGGGGGGAGGCAAAGATTCTATCAACTCTTCACCATCCAAATGTGGTGGCATTTTATGGGGTAGTTCCAGATGGCCCAGGTGGAACATTGTCAACTGTAACCGAATACATGTTGCACGGATCACTGAGAAATGTTCTCTTGAAGAAGGAGAGGTGAGCAAGCTCTCACATGTATAGGCTGCAACCTGTTAATTAATTTTGAATTTATCACTCTTACTAAAATATACTTGCAGAGTGCTTGACCGTCGTAAAAGGATCATGATTGCAATGGACGCAGCCTTTGGCATGGAATATTTGCATTTAAAAAGTATTGTTCATTTTGATTTGAAGTGTGATAATTTGCTTGTCAACTTGGGTGATCCTGAGCGGCCTGTATGTAAGGTATTTTGCAGCAGAATTAAGTTTTTTCTTCTTCTTCTGACTTATGAGCCTTTAAAAAGTTGTGCTCATGAACATTTGATTTATTCATTTAAATATTTTTTTAAAATTTCCCATCTATCGATACAAAATTAACCCCAATTGTTATCCTGCTCCAATACCATCAAGATATACTTTATTTTATTTTTCTTAGAAACAACTTTGTTTAAACAAAGTTATTGGACTGATCTCTTTCTCTAAAATATGATCAATAGGTTGGAGATTTTGGCCTATCGAGAATTAAACGCAACACACTTGTTTCTGGTGGTGTCAGAGGGACTCTTCCATGGATGGCACCGGAACTACTGGATGGTAACAGCTGTAGAGTATCTGAGAAGGTTAGGAACTTCATATGTCTCTCTATGTTCTTTTCAATTTTGACCCTGCACTTTC